CCACAATCTTCACACCAGCTCCTTCCAAAGGCCTGCTCCATAAACCACACATGTCATGCCAAGGCGGCTTTAACCCAAACCCAGTATCCACCCTTCCAATTAGATTGCCAGCTTTATGCCCCATGGAGGTGCCACAGGGTCCTTTTGGGAAATAGTGGGAAATAAGGTTGTATACACCCAGATTTAAAATTCAGGTAGAGGACTTTAGACTTGATGCAACAGATAATAAAGAGAGACTGTAGGCTCCTCAACAAAGAGATACTTGATATAGTCATATGTCAGAAAGACCGATCTCCTTGAAACTTAATTCATTACAAACATGAATTAAACTTTTCTAAGAAATAAATCTAAATAACGAGCTAATAACAAGGAAGTGTTAATAATGAAGGAACTGAAGTTTTGTTTTTTTTAATTCCATTCTGGCATAATTAAGGGATAAATCAGTGCAAATGAAAGATGTCACTGTTACTAAAACTTCATTTACTTATTGACTTATATTTCACGTGAACAGAGTGTGTTTTTAAGACTATTCAATTTTTATGTAAGTCAACGTTATTTCTAGTTTCTGGGAAAAGGATATTAATCCCTTGTCACTGAAAATTTAACTGAGTTTATCAAAATTAATTTCTCAAAGGCCATCTGATAGCCACCAGATGGCAACCTGAGCCGATGTCAGATCAGAAATTTAAGTTCTGGATAGCCCTGAGACTTTATCAACAGCCACACATACCCCGGGGTTCCTTTTAAAGTCATAAAACACGGATGCCTTCTATAACTTTTGTAAATTCCATTTGAACATAGTGAAATATGTTCTACCCACAATGCTTACAATAATTAAAGCTTTTTTTGCCCCTTAATAATAGTCTATCTAGAAATAGCACAATATGGAATAATCATTAATAGAACTGTTACAGTACTTGAGTCAGTGCCTATCAAGAGCACAGGCATATATTAGTAAGTTTCCTAAAGAAAATCCATTTTCATTTCAGATTCTGACATTTTATTTAGAAAAATTATACCCTTTCTTTTAATTATTTCAGTAAACATAATGAGGGTATTGCTAACTACACCACAGAGTCCTTTCTTTTCTCCATTTTTTTAGTAATATGAGTCTACTTGTAATTAAAGGCATGCTGCATTAATGATCCCAAAAGTCTCCAAGGGAAACATTTAATGTCCACCTCATAATATTACGCCAAAATTACATGCACAGAAGACTTTTTAATAATCTTTGTTTTCTAATTTAGTTTTGATTGGCTCTGAAATCCATAACAGCACTCAAGGGCTCACATTTCTACCATTATCAGCACTTCTGCTCCATAAATTGTACAAACGCATATGACTTCTTCCGTCTGTAGGCTTCTTTTCAAAGCTTCTGTTTAATGTATCCAGAAAATTAGCTGCAGGCTGGAGATAATTGCAGTTAATTTTGCCATTTTTAAGCCACTGGGGTGTTGCGTGGAGATATGACAGCTAACTTTGTCTAAACACAAAGAACAAGTCACTTCAGCTTTACACACAGGTTCAGATCATCCCTATCTGTGCTTTATGCAAATGGAAACAAATTGTAGTCACTAGATGATCTATGTTTTCTGACAAAGCTGTGCTACCTGGAGCTTTTAACGTGGATGAAAGAAGGATGGGATCTATACTAACATGTTATTCCAGCATTAAAAGAAAGTTATTCCTTCTCTACCTTTCAGATTCCTCCCCCTTAACAAAACAGAGATCCTTTTTAGTTATCAAACAACTTAAAGAAATAAATTAAATGATAAAGAAAATGAATAGCTCTTAATATACAGAATTCATACATATACATGTACATGTTATACATACATAAATAAGAGTATGCGTGTATGGATGTGTGTGTATTTCCCTATTCTATTGTCATAAATAGAAAAGGCAGAATCTCCCAGAAAACTAATGTTAATAAATGCTGGTACAATTAATATAGGACAATTTAAAATCACTTGACATTAAAGATTTATGAAATAGGTCATCCAGGTTAATAAGCAGAGATCTATTATTAAATGGAATCTATGGCTACATTTATATGCTCCTTCACTCTAAGATTTCATTCTATGTTAAAGCAAATGCGGTATTCAGGGACAGTCACTGGCAGATAGTGATGGAGCAAATGCAGAAATGCATTGCCAGTGCCCTTCAACTGTATATTAAATAAATCAGCTATGGGAATTACAGGGTATTTCTCTGACCAAACGTCCGCTTGCTGCTCAGAACTGCTTATAGTCACAGCTAATAAGCATGTCACTAGCTGAGCAGATGATTACTGAAACCATTTTGCAACAAACATTTACATATAGGGGCTAAGTAGTGATCGAACCTATGTGGCAGCTACCCTGATGTAATAGGCCATAACGACTCTGAGGGAGCAGGTATAGATGTGAGTGTCAAGGAGGGAAGAATGTGTAAGGCACAACCCAAATGACTTTATGGATTCCCATTAGACCTTGGGTAAGGAGCACCTAAACAGGTCTGATGTGACAGCATCTGGAGACAGCTTTACAGCCTTGTGTCAGGAACCCTTACGCTGAAGAGTTTTATGGAAAGGCCACAACTGCAGAGAGAATGTGTTGCTATATTAGGTCATTACAACTGCGTTGCTATATAATACGTATACAAACAGTCCCAAAGTGTGCATTTGAAGGATAGATTATTAAATAAGTTATGCCAATAATATGCATATTAAGGAGCACAAATTAAGCATTGATAGGTAATGTCTCACAAGCCTTACACTCTCCCTTGGAAAATTATTCTGCTCAATGGCAGGTTTAAAGACACCAAGGTTTCTGAATATCTGCATCAGACTAAGACGTAGCCTTTTAAAAGCTGGTCCTGTGGGGTTTCATGTAAACATGTAAAGTAGACATGCTACCGCACTTGAGAAAACTGAGGGATATCGTTTTAATTCTTTTTTCTCTTTTGGTCTCAAACATCACTTAGCCATCGGAGAGGTAGGAATTGGCTTGTTTAAGGACCATAGGCCATGTCACCGGGAAAGGCAGGCATAGGAGGCTCTGTAATGTGTTCTTCCCACTTGTGATGGGAGAATGAGGCACATGGAAGACCCCAGGTAAACCCTTCAACACGATGGACAGAAGCAGTGCTGAGCAAGCATTCTCTTGCCAGAGCCTGGGACCAGGGAAGCTGCACGTACAAATCACACATAGAACACATCAGACAGTGCCAATGACAGTGCAAAGGGCATCCTGAAAACCGATATTTGCTATTTTACTTAGATTGGTGAATCAAACAATCCCAGAAGAGGCATATTGTTACAAGTGTCATGCAAACCAATGCACAGGGCTAGAGCGTTCTTAATGCGTGAAGAGCTGGCCCAGAACTTGTCCTCTGCTGTAAGGAGTGGAAGATGGCACAACCTATCACCTGAATGGCAATTTCACTCCAGATGCGCAATGAGAACTTAAAGTTGACCTTTTATGAGAAATTATTAAAGGTCTTTTCTAAAGGCAACATACTGTCTTCTACAGATTTATTATAGTGTCGCTAATGCATTTAATATAGCTATGAGTCAGAATTAACTCAACAGCAATGGGTACATATAATGTGTTTGAATAAGCTCCTTTTCTGGAATTCTCCAGCTTCTAAAATGCAACTTCCTTGCAAAGCACATACCTGTCTCCCAGAGAGATGGGTCCTCTCTTTGAAATATTTAGTCTTTCAGGGTACTTTAGTCGTAGTGACACCTAATAGCCAAGCTTTTTTTCTCACTCTCCACAAAATCAGGTTTAGACTATAATTCAAACCAGTCCCGAAAGGCACTTCTGAAAAATGGCAAGCCCTTAGCTTTTAGGTGAAAACACTCTTTATTGCTCAAAATTGTTTCCTGTTACAAAACCTTTTCTATAATACTAAGATGATCTTATGCTAATTTAACTCACTGGGGACTGTGAACAGATGCTACTTTGATTAATAGTTTCACTATCCTGAAAATGCCAGGCCAGGTTCAAGATAATAAAGTCAGGTAAGAACACTATTAAAACCTGCCATGCAATTTTATCTGTATGTGGAGAAAAACGGGATCATAGTTCTTGAATCACATGAAGACCACCTATAATAAAAGACAACATAAACCAAAAGAACCTACTATCTGAATTCTCTAGCACATTGAACATCATTTTAATCACCAATCTCTTTACTAATATTTTGTAGGTATATTTTCAGCTATGTCCTTAGTGAAAATTCAATGTGCCACTCCGATGTTGCGTTTTCACTTACTATATACAGTACGCCATGAGAACAATGAATTCTGTAACTTTGCTTATCACAAGAATAGTATCTGAATTTGTATGCCCCTGGTCGTTAGTTTCCAGCAAATATGTTTCAACTTCTCAACATTCATTTTCCAAGTACCCATGCAAAACTATGACCTTTGAAAATAAGAAACTGCATAAATTGGTGAATAAGACTTTTCTAGAAAAGTCTCTCACAAGCTTTAGTTCCTCTATCCTCTGCTTCTCTTTTCACTGTTCTCCTAACCAATCACAATAGTTTCCTCATGAAGAAAGCTATGAGATCTATCCGAACCTTAACTATGAAACTTTGGACTGGCCTTTTATAGTTGTGTAATGAAAGCTTTGTGTTTTTAAAGTTTGTTTCCCAACAGATCTTATCTTTAACACAGCACAGATGACCTAATCATATTCTCAATCTCCAATCTGAGATTTAACCTCCAGTTAGATTTTTTTTAAATAATATATACAGTGCACCTGCTATAGGAAAACTTTGGTTTGCAGGGAAGCAGAAGGTAAGTTCCAGTGCATCAATCACACTGTGCAAATTGTAATTCCTGGTAGCGCAAGCCTGCACAGAGGGTGAAGTTAGCCTGGGAACACAAATTTGCTACCTGAAGATTCAACTCATTGCATGAATTGAGTCTTCACACTAACCACACTTGTAGGTATATACAGCTTGCCTCCATTTAGTATGAAATATTCTATTCAAAAGTGTTGTCTCACCATTGCACAGAAGGTCTCAGGAGGGTCTCCACAGGTAATATCTGGAGGATCCAGTTTCACTTTCAGATATTTGGTCATGTCCATGGATTCCGGCTGACAGGCCATGTAATCCCAAACTTTCCCTTCATCTGTGTAAATCTGAGTCTTACATACATCATAATGTCCCCACACCAAAGGGAAGGGCTGCATCACTGAGGACACTGTAACCCAAAGGGCATGAATTGACAAGAATCTTGACAAATACATCTCTAAATTCTTTGCAATCTTCTTGGTAACTAAAGCAGAGTTTGCTTATCTGGGATCTGCGTCCGTTTTATACATACATATACATATATGTCTATAGGTTGGTAGGTCTTATATTCAAAGAAGACGAAAAAAAGAGGGCTAGACGTCAAATCAGACTCCAAAACCAAACGCGAAGGGTTAAGATATTGTGCGTGTTTGGAAATAGGGAGGACTTTGGTGGAAGCCTAACATGCTTGTGTGGCAGGCGTTAACAGCAACTTGCAGCGTGTTCTTTGTCCTAGAACATATCTATTAGACATGGGTCTAGTTTGGTTTTTGTAAAAGATGTCCAGTAGCAGATAATAATTTAGCAAAGTGAGGGGTCTTCCGTTGTACATCCGATAACCCTGAGTGATCCTCGATGTTCACAGCTCAGAAGGGGAGATTAGACTCACTGAGATATCAGTATCTGAAGCAAAAGGATGAGTGTCGATAGCCCGGTGTCTGTTTCCCATCAATCATTCTTTTCTTCTGGCACCAACACCCTTTTAGAAACAATAAGAGTAAGAATTATTGTCTCAGAATCAGTGCATTACAAAATATATGATATATTGACATTTTGGAGGTTTGATGCAATATAAAGCAAATTGGTGTAATATGGATAACCTTTACTCAGCTGCTTTGGTAGAACGTGCAAACCACGGAAACCATTCACACTGGAGAGAATTCCACTATGAAGGATTTAACTCTTCCACAACATAGACAGATGTGTGCGTTCTAGGTGAGTTACAGAGTTTTGCTTCAAAAATTATATTTCCATCTTGACAAAACTGATAGCAAGTGGCTACATTTAAACATTTCTCATGAGCTAGAAAATCTTCCAAGAGAACAATGTGGGAATTGAGCGCTTTTATGACAATGACAAAGAAATGACAACTACTTGTATGCCTTTTGTCTCTTGGCAAAAAGACCCTAAAATCTCCAAATTCCTTGTGTACTTTGTAGCTTTTGTTAGCTGGAGTGAAAACCAGCATTGTTGCTATGAGCCTGTCCCTCTGGGTTTGCTCATTATATTGGAAGAATTTAGCCTCTTTTGTTTAGTCATATTTAGTGATAAAGATAACTTGGCTCTCTGAAAAAAAAAATTTCAAAAATAAAACCAAAGGGGCAAATTTTCCTTTCATATGAATTTTCTATTTTCTTACATCTTTTTATAGCCATTACATCTGCATTTGCAGTTACTTTCTGTAACAGAGAATTTGTCCCAAAGGCGAATATTATATGCTGCTTTAAAACTAAAAGCTCTGTAGTAAAACAATTTAAAATGCACATATAAAAATAGCTGAGGGTGAGTTAACAGGCCATGAAGCAGAATAATATGGCACTAATTCTCAGAGAAAATGAAAATTACTATTTAAAAGTACTTTTGGTTAACTTACAATGCAGCGGGCATAACTATGGGTGGAAGTGATTGGTGCGTTGAACTGGCAACTTTTCCCTTTGAGATGATTATCCAAATCTAAACAGACAGTAATTTTTTGGAATCCAGGTGTAAAAAAGGTATATTTGCTTAAATAGTTGGTTCATATTCTTAGTCCCCCCAGCTATTTTTTAAACAATTCAAAAAGGACAAAAAAGATTACAGTTTTGGAAAATTCCATTATAGACCCTTCAATTCACATTAACCAGTTTAAATATGGAAGATCACTATCTTCAAACAATCTTATAAAAGGAATTCACTATATTTAAATAATGCACCATCTTAAAATGAACTAAGTCACAGACTATGAAATGCCAACAGATGGTTGAATTGTGTTTCCATAGCAAAGTAATTTATAATAATTGCTTTATGGATGCAAGTGCAATTTTCATTATATTCAATTCATAAAATATTATCATATAGTTACAGTTTGTGATATTTTCTATTAGGAAGAGTGTTGAATATTTGAGTTTCCATGAAGCAATAATTAGCAGTTTGTCTAATTACGTATAAACTACAGATTTGAATCTGCTTCTTTCTTGTAACATAAAGACTATACTGTGTTGAACACATTTTGAAATCTTATGCTAAAAAGAAAAAAAAGAGAAAAAAACACAGAGAAGCATGTGTTGTGGCTATTACAGCCTTCTATCTGTTTTTTTCTCCAGTTTCATTAGTAATTTTAAGGTGATATTTTCAGAAATATCCAACAATTTGACAACTAATAATCTGAAAAGGTGTTAAAAATAACACAAACTTACCCTTTCTACATGCATTTTTCAAATGTGTTTACTGCTTTATTATAGCAAGAAACAAGTACTTTCCCAGGAGCGGGAGGTGGGCAGTGTAAAATCTACTAGACCAGAAATTATTAACCTCATTTCTTAGTTTCAAATACACAGCTACTTATTTTCCAAAAACAATGCAATCTTGAAGACCTGGAATGGACTGCTTTGAGTTTGAACTGAGTAAGCCTAACGTGTTAATTTTTTATATTATTTTTTAAAATATGGATTTAAGTATGTATTTGCATGCTCCTGAGATCAGTCTTAAATGTGTGGGTTTTTTTTTTTTTAATTATCTCCGTCACCCATTTATTCTTGGACACTCTGACCTCACCCACATTTTGCCTGAATGCAACCATAAACTAAAGGGTGACCATACATTTGTACAGGAAAAATCTGGACACTAAGAAAAGCCTGTGAACCTGTCACTGTCTCCTGACACAAAAGCAATCCCAATATAACGAATTCTCATTAGAGTATACCAGAATTATAATGATGGTCGTTACACAGAATTATGGACTACACCATTGATCGAATTTAGAGAACTGACAAGGAAAAATGCAGAGGAGTGCAAGATATTTGAATATTAGGCATATGCAGGACTGTGCGACAGACATTCCTGACAAGAAGCAGCCAATTATAGCTTAAATTTCTGGCACATAACCAGTTGTGATTAATAGTTTTCCATTACATTATAGACATATTATTAATGTATTAAAAATGTCAAGCTTTGGCAAGCACTAATATGGCATGGCTCAGTTAGCCTGCAGAATTTACATTTAATGAGCTCCCACTGACACAGGAAAAGATATTGACCACGGCATATTACACATCATGAGCAGAGGGTCACTAAGCTGTTCTTTAACATAATTATTTGATGTTTCATGCTAATTTTTATGTTTGTAGCGTCAGCTATTATGTGTCCTTTGCTTTGAGTCTCCTTACTTCCCATACCATATGCACTTCAAAGAAAATCTTTGACTTAAAATGAGTATGGAATTAAATCTACGAACTTCAACGACACATAATTGAAAAGAAGCCTGTCTCAAATTCAGGAATTTGTCATTGAAGTATTATTATGGAGTTTTCAAAGCAAATAAAACCATGTAAAAATAGAATGGTTTTTGCACCTTAACCTTTATTACCTCATGGTACAGGTTCCCATCTGGCTATGCTTTCAGCCAGGTTAAAATTATCGATGGCCTCTTTAAAGCTAGGTCATTACAATAAATAGCTCAGCAAACTGATTATGAGAACGACAGTCAATGACATATTTTGGGACTTTGTAAGCTGATCCCTTCTGGCCCATAACTGGTCTAATTGCCAAGTAACGTGGGCTTTGAATTTGTCTCTGGCACCTGAATCCCCTAAAAGTGAGCAACTTCTCAAGACCTCTCTGGGCAGTGCCAATGCTAGCTCTTAACTTTGCGAACCTTGGAAACTCACTGCAATCAAATGTCATCCTCTCTACCTGTAAACTACAGTACTGAGGAGGTTTCTTGGTTATTACTATTTAAGAAAATAAAAATACAAACTAATATGCTGTGAGCCCGCCAGAGACCTCTGGCTGGTGTATAAATGTGCAGAGCCAATGTCAAAATACAAAATCACGTCATGGCCCTTAAGTTGGTAGATGTTATTGATCAGGACTACAATGGGCTAGAAAACAGCTTTGCATACATGGAACATATCGTTCCCCAGGATTCTGAAGTTAGTTCCTTTCTACCTTGGATTACCTTTCCACAAGGTATCTCACAGGCCCTTTCTCTCATCAAAACAGGAGCTTCCCAAAATATTACATGGAAGTAGTAATGATAAAATTTGTAGGTAATTATATCCCAAAAGAAACTGCCAATTTCATTAACATCTGAGAGGAAAAATTGCCAGTAAATCTACTAACTCTAGCTGGCTTTCAGCCTTTGCTTTATTATATAATCTAACTAGGAGGTGGGGGGGGTTGGTAGTAGGATATTTATTCCATAAATACTCAGCTCTTCAGGGGCACCTGAAATAGACAGCTATTGACTCATTCCTCACAGGCATTAAGAATTTTATAAATATACATGTTTCTGAATGGTAAGGAACAAAAAGAAAATTGACTATAATCATATCCCATTGAATGAAAAAGCTAAAGGAGTAAAGATATGTACAAATTCCATAGCCTATCAAAATTAGCAGCTTCCAACACAATTATAATGAGATTTGCTACATGAGATATTTTAACATATATCGAGTCCCTTTGCACTCATTTGTAGTGAAGATTGTAATTTCTAGTCATCTTAATGGGAAACATCTGTTTCCATCTTGTACTTAACTGTTTCTCAAAATATAAGGAATTTAACATGTACTACAACATCATAGGCACATCTTACTCATACTTGATTGGATATTATGAGCAACTGCCTATCATGAGATTCTTAATAAAACCAAAGAACACACTTTAGTACTTGAAAGTTCTCTGTTTTCATCGAGAGAAGACTGATTAGAAAAAATAAATAGCATGTATTTTTCAGAATGTTTGGGGACTAGATAATACATAAAATTATTTCAGAATCAGTTAAACCAAAAGAAATCTGGTGTTTCATCCCCATAAGAACAACAAAGCATCCATTCTCTCATACAGGGAAGTTTAGAGACCCAGGTCTGAAATATACATTTGAGAAAATCTACACCCACCTGATGTTTTGAAACAGAACTCTAGATTCTGGAAATAAAATTATTTCATTTAAGTATTCTAAATTTCCTACTGGGATACAATACATTATAATTCATACACACGTTCATGCATATATTTTTCCCATGTTAACATAAAATTGATTTGCTGAGTTGTATGAAATTTTATTTCTTTCCAAGCAACTTGGTGTTTTGTAACTCTAAAACTCTCTCTCCAAATGTTCACAACACTTACAAAACCTATCAACTAAATGTGTAATTCTTTAATTTTTTAACATATTAACTGATATTTTTCAGAATATTAATGGAAGCAAGAACAGGATATTTGCACCAATTACAAATATACAAAAGGAAATAGTACACTAGCCTCCCTTTAAAAAAGCTAGCCTGAATCATTTTAACACACATGCTCAGTGAAAGCTGACAAAACAAAAATCTTAATGGGAAAAACAGCTATATGTCCAAATAAAAGAAACTGTTTTAAAGGTTATCCCTCTTAAATTTTGCAATAGAAAGTATCACCAAATTAATGGTCCAATATATGGAATCCTGAGTGTTCTCATGTTGGTCTTAGTGGTGAAATATATCTTATTTCATGCTATCCAGA